TGGAGTTGTTCATATCAGCAAAAATGATATTAAAAACGTATCAGATTGAAGGGGACATAAAAAGGTATATAGAAGGGGATAGATTCATTGTTAAATTTTGGCTATGTTAGCGTACAAAAATGTTAAAATTTGACATCCTTATTTCTAATATTTGTGTCATTTTTTGGCATGACTATCATTACATTCTTCCAACTACCAAATCACTATAAAATGCATCTAATCGTTAATAAAAATACTAAAATTTAATAATTTGACAAAGTTTACGTCAAATTTAACACTAAGAATAACAACGGTAATAATACAATTATGCCAATTTAAATAACACGTTAAAACTACTCTTAAAACGTTCAAACTAGTTGGATTGACTTCTTTACCACAAAAAAAAGAACAAAACAAACAAACAAAATCAATGATAAGATTTTTCTCAATTTTCCCTATCAGCTCTCACTCCTTTGAAAAGGGTTCAACTCCTTTCAAGTTGATGGAGAGGTGTTGTTAAACTTAGTTTTTTAGGCTCATTTAACCGTTTATTTTTAAGATCCAATGAAAAGAGTATCTACACAAAAAATAAATTGATCTAACATCGATAACCAAATAATTGAATTACATTTGTCCAAAAAAAAAAAAAAAAAGAAGAAGAAAAAAAAAAAAAGAAGATAAAGATAGTCTATCTTCTAAATTATATTTACTGTTCAATTTTATAACATATGTAATCTGAATATGTAACTATCAATATTTACTGTTCAATTTTATAACATATGTAATCTGAATATGTAACTATCAATATTTTATCAATTTAATTTTTTACATGAATTATCTTCTTAATAAATTTTATAAAATGGATTATTTAAATCAATGAGATGAGTTTTAAGGCTCCGTTTGGCAAGAAAAAAGTCAGGCTTTTTTGGCTAAAATAGCCACAAAAAACAAAATAGGCTATTTTAGTTACAAAAAAAAAAACATCAAATCCAACCCATAATCATTACAATCCTCTCTCACAAAAAAAGCTAAAAAAGTCAAAAAGTCAAAAAGTCTTTCCCAAACTAAGCTAAAATAACCCAGACTAAAATAGCCAAAAAATTAAAAAGACAAAAAACTAACCCACTTTCCAAACGGAAGCTAAATGGATTCACTAAACTTAACAATCCCTCTCTAATTAGATCACTAAGCTAGAAAGAAGTCATCTCTCCTTCAAAAATATGTGTATAGTTCTTGGAGTTTTCTTAAGTGTGCAAGTGCACACCATGTGCCACTTACACAAAAAGTGTAAGTGTAAGGTGTAAGTATAAGTATAAGGTGTAAGTGTAAGGTGTAAGTGTAAGGTGTAAGTGGGTTGCATATGGTGTGCAACCTCAAAAAAGGTGTAAGTGTAAGGTTTAATTTTTTACAAAAGGTGTAAGTGTAAGGTGTAAGTGTAAGGTATAAGGTGTAAGGTGTAAGTTGCACACCATAACCAAACCCATAGTTCTTTGACCTTTGTACATATTCTCTTTCCTTGTAATTGAATTGGATTCTGACAAGTGTTCCATGATTTGAAGAAAAAGTAGTCGCTTTCAGTAAGCTTCTTTCTCTAGACATATTTTTCTCGGTGGGTGAATAAAAAAATGTAATTACTACAAATCATTTAAAAAAAATAATATACTCCAATTTTCACTCTTAGGTATATTTAGATATCAAGAATCGGGGGTTGTTTGAAAAATGATTTTTCTCCACAAATTTGTTTCCTTGAATAGTCCGAAATTTAGAAGAAAAAGAGAAAGAGAGAAAGAAAGAGAAGAGAGGGGAAGAGAAGGAGATGGCAGCTGCGACAGCCCTCCGCCCGTCGTCGCCTCTGCCCGATCGTCGCCTGCTGTCGCCTCGTCGCAACTTGTCGCAGCCCCGTCGTCGCCTCTGCCTCTGCCTCGCAGCCCCCGTCTCTGCCTCCGCCTTCGCCCCCTGATCCTTCCAGTTCTTCTTCTTCCAGTTCTTCTCCTTCTCTTCTTCTTCCCCCTTCTCTTCTTCTTCTTCTTCTTCCTTTTTCTTCCTTCTCTTCTTCTGATTTTCTTCTTCTGCAAAAAAAAAACAAAAAATCAAAACGACGAAACGACGTCGTTTTTGAATTCGGGGGGATTCGGGGGCCTCTCTTTCGAGCAACCAATCACTTCTGGGAGTTGTTTGAGGTGTTATAAATCAGTGCATTTTTAACTTTTTAGACTAAAAAATTGAGGAAAAAAAGATGGTTGTTTGAGATAACTTTTTGATTTTTTACGAAAAAATGTGTATTAGAAAATCATATAAATTAGTGTATAAAAGAAGATTTGATGGAATAGGCCGCACAATAGGCTGAATTGAGGGACAACGTCGGCAGTAGAGGCTGGGAAATGATTCCCTGCTTTTCGAGCATTGAATTGGAGATGTTGTTCAGCCCGTAGGGCCCGCCACAGGTCCCGTTTTGCTAATCAAAACCGTTCAATGTGTAGAACTCGTCGAATATTATATTCTTGTAAAAAAATCACGTTGATCGGATATCGATAGCTATCTGATCGGATTAGTTTATTTTCAACCGTTAACTATAACACCATCCATTTTATAAATTTTAACTGATTTGATCATATTGTTACCAATATCCGATCAATGTGATTTTTTATAAGTATATATTACTCGACGAGTTCTACACATTGACGGTTCAAATTATTAAAAAGGGACCCGTGATGGTCCTCCACGGGCCGAACAGCACCGTGCTATTTGTACACCTAAATAAGTGCAAATTTTCCCAAATGTCAGCTCCGCTATTGTGCCGTCAGAGTTGTTTGAAAAAGAAGATTGTGTAAAATTAATTTTTTAATATTTTTTTGGATGAATAGTGATAACTTTTTAACTTTTTGAGTAACTTTTTGACTTTTTGACTTTTTTATGGGTACCCAAACCAGGCCTCAAACAAAAATAATACCAAAAATTTCATTATTCAAAATAAAATTCATGTGTCAGTGTTATTCAATGATTTAGTTTATCTAAAAATTTTACTCAAGTTTCATTTGTCAACTATACATTTTAGTCAAAAAGTTAAAAAAACATTATAAATTATCACATCATTCTCTCTATTTTTTTATATATCTTTTCGTAAAAAGTTAAAAAATTACTAAAATTACTTATTTCCAAACGAGACCTAAGTATGAATATAAACACTAGACCAAAAAAAAAAAATATCAAAATATATAAGGCACAATATATGGGAGACATATATAAAATATATTATTTTATGTATTTATTGTATGCCGTATACAAAAATAAGCAGATCTTTAAGTATCTAACTATTTAGAGCATATCTGAATCAACCAAGATATTTGCCCTAATAATTATGTATCAAAAAGTATTTTACGAGTGTAGTAGAGTTCATGTATTTTAGAAATTCTCTATTCAAATTTCAAAATTTTATTTTGACTCTAAGTTAATTCCTAAGTGCAACGGGTTCAAATAATGGAAAATTTATTAAATTTTTTTTTTTCAAGTATTTGTATTTTAATTAATTCATGAAATATTCTTATATTTCAATACGTCTTATTATTTAGACATTTAATTCACTAAATCCTAATTCTCATATTTAAAATCTTTTGTGAATAATTTTAGCCTTATAAATATTTTTTAAACCCTTAATAACTTAATTATGTGAATAATTATATTAAATAAATTTGATAGTATGATGTACACATTAATAGTGAATGTTAGCATCATGGAATATTAATACTGTCAATGTGAACAATAATACGCATTTCACCCTATTATTTTTAGAGGGCATTTTGATAATTATATCACTTATAAAATTTATTGAATTAAAATAAAATAAATTGAATTAAGTAAAACAGGTGAAAATAAATTTGTGAATAAATGTTTCTTCAATAATTATGAATTAGTGGGGTCAATTTATATATATATTTCATGAAATTCAATATGTTCAATTTAAGCCACTTCACCAAATTAAGGTGGCGCCGCCAGTGGTTGCTTTATTGGACTCGCCGTGTCTTTGTTTAATTCTTGGTAAGGCGTTGGTTGTCCTTTTTAGGATAAATAACATTATGGCCCCTTAAGTTTTAATATTTTTCCATTTAGTGTCTTCATTTATTTTTATTTTTTTCATTTTGGTCTCTGTTTTCTCGAATTTACTCCAACAACCTATATTAGTCTAATTTTGAACAAGAAAATACCATGTCAACAAACATGCAGCATAATAAAATATTAAAATTTTGAACAAATTACATTTTACCTTCATGACCAACTACCTATTTCACCACTCATTCACTATACTCTCTACTATCTCTCCATTGGATCCCTTCACCGACACAATACCAGTACTAAAACTTACACATCCTCCTTTCTTTACCTTACTCTATACGTTCAAACCCTATCTCTAACTATAGTCTCTCTTGTCACTGTCAATCTATCATTACCAACAACTGAATAATCTAGGACCATTACTGCCTTACATCAACTCCTCAGTGCCACTGACAACATCTTAAAACCACCATCAAATATCCAACACTATAGGCCTTTCAAATAGATATCATTGAATACATCATCAAACAACATCTCTTTATCAAATATGATTGCCATTTTAGTAGATTTGGGAGGGGAAAAAGACAATGAAGTGGAGTAGAGCGTGAATAGAAGCAATTTAGTTGTCATTCATTCAATTTTGGACAGACATTGACTATTGGAGAAAATTGAGAAAAATTACAAACATAAAGGACTGAAGTAGGAGAAAACTTTAAAAGTTAAAGTGGGAGAATATTGAAACTTAAGAAAAAGTGCAGTTTATCTAAATTTATATAATAATGTGATATTACGTCACATGACTGCTAAAATTAGTCGTGGGAATAAAATTGAAATTTTTAAAAACATTACGGACCAAAGTGAAAAATATTAAAACTTAATGGAGTAAAGTGTAATTTACTTCACTTTTTCTTTCTTTCTTTGTTTTTTTTTTTTTTTTTTTGGTACGAGGGTTTTGGGCTAAAATCTCCCTGAAGCTGAAAGGTCTATATTTAGAGCTTCGGCTTCTGTGCGTTTGAAGCCTTTATCTGTTTTTGCTCACCTAGCAGTGTGTATGCTTTGAGTTCATTAACCTCGAAGTTTGTAAGAGTCTCAAGACTGAGCTCAATAATTCAAGATATAACAGTCTAGATTTGGGTACATGTTGGCTTGAATTTTGATTTTCAAGATACAATTCGAGTCTACTAGTCTGTAAATGCTGAGTGTTTCCTAGGGTTTTGGTTGCTTTGTTCAAATCCCATTTTGCCCCCTTTTCTTTGTGAACCCAACATTGTACCGTTTATGATAATGAAATCTCATCAACTAGAAATGCTGCCAAACTCCTTTGTTGACTCTGAATCTCATAACCAAAAACCCAATTCCATCTTTCACAACTCTGCTGATCTATCAAGGGCATCTAGGGTCAGTGGGAAGGAAACTATGGTGGGAAAGCAAGATAGGTCTATTGGGGTTCTTGAGGTTTACATACACCAAGCAAGAGACATCAAAAACATATGTATATACCACAATCAAGATGTGTATGCCAAGATTTTCTTGACTAGTGACCCTGAAAAAACTGTTTCAACCCAGATCATTAATGGTGGGGGTAAGAATCCAGTCTTCAATGAGAGCCTCCGGCTCGATGTGAAGACGATTGATTCGTCACTGAAATGTGAAATATGGATGCTAAGTAGGATTAGGAATTACCTTGAGGATCAGTTGTTGGGTTTTGCATTGGTTCCTCTTTGTGATGTTGTCATTGGGAATGGAAAGTCAGATCAAGAATTTTCACTCTCTACTACTGATATATTCCATTCTCAAGCTGGTTTTGTCCAATTGAGTGTCACATACAATGGATCTTCTCCGGAAGTCTTGGGAATCCCTAGTTCGCTTGCTAGGCTAGATTCAGAGGTACCCGTTTCAGTCCCATGTGAACTTGATAAGATTGAATTCCCAAATCCAAATATTGAGATTGAAAATGAGAGGATGGTTTCGGAGTATTTTCGAGTCACTTGTGACAATTTTGACTCCAAAAGCACAGAGTGCTTGGGCAAAATCGATGATGATAAACACCTTAGCTCAGAAGATACAAGTGGTCAAATAGCTGATGGTACTTCAGTGGGTGGTCTTGGCAGTGGTGAAGTTTCTAAGCTTGAAACACCGCCAAGTAGTGTCTCATTTGCACTGCCAAACATTGAGCCTGAAAAAAAGATGGTGCAGCAAGAGATTGTCGATATGTACATGAAAAGTATGCATGAATTCACTGAGTCATTGGCAAAGATGAAGCTTCCTTTGGAAACTGGCAATGGACGTGCTGATGATTTGGGAGATACAGGCTCGGATGAGAAAGTACCGGTAATAACAAAGAGCAATGGACAAAGAAACCCAAGAGTGTTTTATGGGAGCAGAGCGTTCTTCTGATCTGTTTTATTGATTCAAAAGACAGAGGTGACTTGCATTGTAGCGAGTGAGTCGAGCGAGTGGTGAAGTGTCTTGACTCTGAATGTGTAAGCATGTTTTGTTTGTGTTTCAAACTTTATTGCTATTGATTTTAGTTTTTTTTTACGGAAGTACTTTATCATTTTCTTTAGTTTCCAGATTGTTTGTTTCCTCTTTTCCTGGCAATGAATACACTTGCAGAAGTCGCCATTGATTTACTTCTTTTTTTTCTTTTCTGCATTTTTATAATTTAGCTGTCTGTAGTTGAAGTTCATTTGCATTATACCTAGATGGAATTATTTCATACACTCACAGGGAAAAACTAAAATTCGAAAAGAAAATTCAGGCCAATCCAACACCTAATAGTTATATCTCACCATTTTTACAAAAGCTTATTGAACATGAAACTAATAGGAATGTACTTATATTCTTGTTCCATTCTTCCTAACATCACCATCAGATAATCAAGATGTGTCCAACTTGAGAAGCACTACTTCAGGAGTAGTTTTTTATAACACAAAAATACCAAAAGAAACATATACATATAATATATAGATTTGTATCTAGATATATGTTCAAGTAAATGAACAGGTTGTTTAATAATACCTATGGGTTTGTAAAGTGTGCTTTGCCTGCAAACTAGTACCAATATTGATATTCTTAATTCGCAACTTCATAAAATCAGAAAAATATCGAAGAAATGCATTGGCATTGGCATTCATCATTTGAACTCAATCCGCCAACCAAGCAACCTTTCTGGTAAGTTACTTTCACTATGCTGCGGAAGTAACCACAGAAAGATCCCGAGATATATGGGTCCTATACTTTCTTTTTGCTTCTTAGTAACACTCCCAATCTGTCTCTCCATTTTCTGTCCTTCCAAACATGTTAGTACATAGATAAACTGTTGACAAAACTTATAATTAGTAACTTTTTTGTGACAAACTTTTTAAATTGTTCCTGAAAATTAATAATTAGTAACTTTTTTAATAGCATTTGATAAAAAATGTTGTTAATTATTATAGAACTTATTGGATAATAAGTCCACCTATTAGAATCTACAGTTAAGCCCCCTAAATTGTACTGTTAGTTTCTGTAATTTAAGCGAAATGTCACTTTAGTCTCCGTATTTTAATTTTAATTTTAATTTTAATTTTTAGAATAGATCTCCATATTTTAATTTGAATAATGTGAATCTTATGCTTTCAATTTTGTTACAATATATTCTTCCATTATACAATTGTGGAGAGATAAAAATTAATCCATGTGAGGTGGACCCACCCAATGCCTGCATGGAAATACATTTAGGCCATGTTTGATTCACAACACTAATAGTGAGGTATTAATAATCCTATTAAATTAGTGTGGTATTAGTTATCCCACCCCTACCCCATTACTAATAATCCTACAAATTTGTTGGATTAATTATCCATTGGATTAATAATCCTAAACTAAAATGTCAAAACAAACATAGGATGATTGGGCCCACGGATTAATAATCCCAATCCTATGCTTTAATCCTTCCAATCAAACATGCCATTAAGGTAATAAAATAATACCTTATAATGCAACTTGTCAACTTGCTCTGACATACATGTATCAAATAAGGTTTGGGTCATACAAGTGGCTTATTTTCGTTGAACCAAATTGGTGGTTTAAGCTCATTAGATAAAATGAGTAGCAAGTTTGTCTATATAAACGGATGTAATTTTCATCTCTAGGGGAGGTATGTCTAAATTATTTTATTTACTTATTCAATTTGATTTAGATATATGCTATTTAATTTGATCGTCGGAGTGCTCTCGATCGGGCCGGCAACCGCCGGTTGGGAGGCATTAACTATTTATTCTTTTTACAAATTTAGAACGATACAATTCAATTCTTTATTAATCTCTTGATTAATATATATGGCACAATTTCTACCTCCACAACAACATTAACATTTTAAACAAAAAAAAAATTGCAATGCGATTTTTTTGTTATAAGCCATTAACGTGTTAAACCAAAAAAATGTCAAGTGCAGGTAAAATTTAAAAATTTTAATAATGCAACAAAAATAATAATGGTGTAAAAATATTTGAAATATGTCAGGTGCAAATAAAATTAGAGATTTTTAATAATACAACAAAATAATAATGGTGTAAAAATATTAGAAACATGTCAAAATTGAGATTTGAACCAGCAGTACCCTTTCGGATCAGTACCTGAAAATAGCGCCTTAGACCAAATCGACCATTTTCACTCCAATGTAAACTGCCAGTGACAAAACATCCTTGAATCTTACATTCAGCTGAGGGCAAAAGATCGAATTACATTCAATACCTCGTGTGTTTTAAATAACCATCTGTGTCATATATTTATCTTTATTCTACGACAGTTTTGGTTACCTAATTTTAATTATGACGGTGATTGAGAGGCCTTAGATATAGAGTTATAAATTAAGCCCTATACATGTGCCATTAAAATAAATAAATAAAAACATTGCATCATAGATGGGTCCCATCCATTAGAACTATCTTAGAACTCTCTTTTTAGAGTTCTAAAGTATTTCTGTTTTAATTATATATAATAATCATAAATGAATAAATGTCGAATACATGTAGTTAGGTCTCATTTGGCAACATCACTTTTTAGTTAAAAAGTCAAAAAGTCACTAAAAAAATTAAAAAACCAATAATTTATACCAATCAAAGATTCTTTTTTCTCTCTACCATTTATATATCTTTTTGTAAAAAATTAAAAAATTATTCCAAATATACCAATTTTTTTTTATATCATATTGTAACTAAAAAATTACTAAAAAAAATATGCTTCCAAACGAGACGTTACTTTACATGACTTCAATACTCCTACAAACAAAAAGTTTGCCCTCTTAGGCCGTAAGCTCATTGGTTAACGAGCTACTGCGCTTCTCGCTAATGAGCAAGGATCCTTTAGAGTTTTTTTTTTCCTAAGTGCATTGTGTGGTTGAGATTTAATGACAAGTCACATCAATTTTTTAGTATTAAATCTCAACCACACAATACACCACTTTAGAAAACTTTAAAAAAAAAAACACTATAGAGGATCTTGATGCTCGCTTATAGCCTATTCACTTAGCTAATTGACTCAGCTGACTTCGTGACACGAGGCTTGAGTGTCCCACTATTTTTTTAAAAAATATTATCAAACGAAGAAGCCTTGCTTTCACATCTCTCTTAACTTTCACAACAAAAGAAAAACGAATTGCGTATATATATGATCATGGTTGTCATAACAAAAATTTGATAGTCATGTAACTCGATGGGTTGAAATCTTTAAAGGTTGGTTTGAAAGGTGGGTTGACTTTTTAATTTTTTGATTTTTTAATTATTTTAGTCTGAAATTAAAAAATTTTGTTTGAGAATGATTTTTAACTTTTTTGACTTGTTATAAGAGAAATAATATAATAATCATAGATTGGATGCGATATTTTATCTTATTGAACTAAAAAGTCTATTTTATTTTTTTATGACTAAAATAATATCAAACTTAACCCAACCCATTCTTTCCAAATGAAACCTTAAGCTAGTCATAGGTTAAAGTCCCTTGCATCCATCCCTTTTTACTTGTATTTGTATATATTTATTCACACTTAAAAGGAAAAGTAATGATTACCACTTAGAGGGTCATCAATATTTCTCCAAAATAATCTATTTAACAATTTTTTTTTCTTTTCACAAGGGTGTCCCGGCCGTAGTTCCAACAAATTCCTAGTACTTTCAACTATTACTGAATGATTATTGGACATATGCATTGGGTGACTTCGTAGTAAAATAAGAAATGAATTTTATTTTTTTTCTTTTTTTATCTGGAAGAATAAGAAATGAAATTTTTAACCGTTGATTTATTTTTAAAATTTTAAACTCATAATTTACTGTCCTAATCAATTGAATTATTCAAGTTGTGGTTTAATCAACGCTAATCCCGAATTCAATTAGTTAAAATACTTCTCTTCAATAGTTTAAATGATAAAATCTTTTATTTTAGATAAGGTCCATCACATTATTTCCCTCAATCCTTTTCAAGTGTCATATTCAAAGCAACATGCATTTTTGTTAATAGTATGAATTTGTTAGACAGTGTGTCACTCTGTTTTAATGTCAATTTGGGTGTTTAAGCTTTATTTGATTAGAGAATTTGCGAAAGGATTTAAAAAAGAGAGGGGGGAAAGTAAGTAAAATGTGAATAAATTATACCTACATTTCATCTAATTTCACACATTTTTTTTCTTTCTCTTTCCAATTATCTTTCCAAACTCCTCAACCAAACACAGTCTTAAGAACACCGAATTGGCCTTGTTTGGTTTGTGTTTCTCAAAAAAATTTGAGAAAAATTCTCTACAAATAAGTTTTCAAAAGTAATCAAACCAAACAAATTTTTTCAAAATTTTTTTCTAAAACTTGTTTGGTTTACAAATTTTCCAAACAAATCTCTCTCTCATACACATCAAATCAATTACTTTTTCCCAAACTCTCTCTCAAAATAATTTTTCAAAACATCTTTTTGAAAAAAACCAAACCAAACAAATTTCTGTACTTTTTATCTCAAAATATATTTTTCAAATACAAACCAAACAAGGAATCTCCTATTCCATTCTATGCTCCCTTGTTTGTCCCTTTACATTTCATTGGTTTATGGAGTTGTACATATCAACAAATATGATATTAAAAACGTATCAGATTGAAGGGGACAGAAAAAAGTATATAGAAGGGGATAGATTCATTGTAAAATTTTGGGTATGTTAGCATACAAAAATGTTAAAATTTGGCAACCTTATTTCTAATATTTGTGTCATTTTTTGGCATGACTATCATCTTATTTTTCCAACTATCATTAAATCACTACAAAATACATCTAATCGTTAATAAAAATACTAAAATTTAATAATTTGACAAAGTTTATGTCAAATTTAACACTAAGAATAACAACGGTAATAATATAATTATGCCAATTTAAATAACACGTTGAAACTACTCTTAAAGCGTTCAAACTAGCTGGATTGACTTCTTTGTCAAAAACAAAACAAAAGAAAACAAACAAACAAAATCAATGATAAGATTTTTCCCAATTTTTCCCGTCAGCTCTCACTCCTTTGAAAAGGGTTCAGCTCCTTTCAAGTTGATGGAGAGGTGTTGTTAAACTTAGTAGTTTTTTAGATCCATTTAATCATTCATTTTTTAAGATCCATCGAAAAGAG